GCGTATTTACCGCAAGGCGTTTACCTAGGGTGGCATTTGTCAGGGGGATGGCACGGTGCCGCCCCCCCTTTCCCCTGGTAGAAGTGACACAGGACACAGAGTGATCTGAGTGCTGGGACTGGGAGCAGCCGGCACTCAGCTCTGCTCATTATGTGTGCAGTGGGGACGCGGACCGAAGCAGGGTCCATCTGCAGGGGCACCGGAGCTGAAACCGCACCAATTACACTGATCTGCAGCTCTGTCCCCAGCTGGTTCCCAGCAGAGTGCACCAAAGCCGCCTCCCTCTCCTCCGCTGTCTACATGTACGTGGGGAGGAGGAGGGGGAGGAGGAGAGACACCGCTGTGCATGTCTGTTCCTATCTGATGTCTGTACAGATTTTCTTATATTGTTTCTGGGCAGAGAATGGGGACAGAGTGACCTGGAAGGGGAGGGGAGAGGATCTATGCTAGAAGTTGGTTTTGAATATTAAATCCAAAATCACACAAGAGCACAAGCCCTCTCCCTTCCCAAAGCGCCCCTCCAGCACATATCCACCCCCCCCCACCTCCCTACTAGCACAAGTAGAGGGTGGTCTGTACTGAGAGAGGGGGGGTCTATAATGATGGAGAAATGTGTGTATTTAGTGGGAGAGGGGTCTATAGTGAGGGAGGGGGGATCTATACTTAGAGGGGAATGAGGTCTGTACTCAGGGAGGGGGGGGGTCTGTACTGAGGGGGGACTATACCTGGTGGAGAGGGGTGTCTATACTTGGTGGATAGGGGGTCTGTACTGAGGGGGGGTGTCTATACTTGGTGGCGAGCAGGAGCGTATTTACCGCGAGGCGGAATTTTTCAGGGGGGGGGTGGTACCATTGGGGCAGGGAAGTGGGAGGGGGGGGTGGAAGGCAGTGGTCAATTTTTGTGTTTCCTTATGCAGCACAAAACTAAATACACCACTTCTCTCTGAGGATTTGGAGCTCTTCCAAGTTTGCCTTCATTGCACATCTCTGCTTCTCTGCTATATCTCTGAGGACTTTTTTTCCTGTTTAAAATCTATAACTTTTTGACACATTGGGGTATTTTGGGGTTTCTTTTAAAACTTTTTTGGAGGACATTAATTTCACCTTTATATATTTATATTTGTGTCTGGCATCATGCACATTTAAATGTCATGGTGTATTATTTATACCTTTAGACACTGCTATAATTAACTAATCTTCCAGGAGAAAGTCTTGCTTATAGCGCTGCACTAATTGATTTTTAGTTTTTATATACTTTGTACTTAAGAGTTGTGCCAGCTGCTTTTAGAATTTAATGGGCCATAACGTGAAAATTTTCTTTTTGCAACATTCTCTCCCAGTCTAAGTCTTGGAGAGCAGCCCTCAGCCTTAGAAATTTTTCTCAAAATGAAGTGTTTTTATCTTTCCAGTATGTGTTTGTTGTTTAAAACTTACATTAAATGAAATCATGTTATAGTCACTGCTACCCAGGTGTTCTTTTATATGAATATTAGTAATAAGCTCCACATGGTTTGAAATTAAAGGTCCAGTAGAGCATCATTTCTCGTTGGGGTTTTTAAAAACTGTAAAATAAAATTGCTTTGTAATAGGTTTAAACATTTACGCCCCTTTTTTAATGTTACAGTCAATTTCAGGATAGTTAAAATCCCCCATCATTAGAATTGTCCCAGTTCTTGCAGTCCTTTCTATCTATGCAAGGAGCTGAATCACCTTCTCATTAACACTGTGTGATCTGTAACAAACTTCAGTATTTAACCACACCGTCTCATTCTCAATCAACAAGGTCCTCTTTCAAACTCAATATGAGATCACTTTTCACATAGGGACAGACACCGCCACCTTTTCGTTTTACCCTGTTTCTTTGAAAGAGCATAGCCAGGAATAATTAATGACCCATTCAGGAATGAAGCCAAGATACAGCAATATTAATTAAAGTGTTACTAAACCCAGTACTCAGCATCTACTCTTTCTGGTCTCCCACAGTACACAGAACATGGAAATGCAATTATTTCAGTAAATATAAACTGAAAAATACCTTTTCTCATCAGCAGTTAGAGCAGTCTTGTGACTCCTATCAGTGTCCAGCTGAGCACTGGTTAAAGCTTGTAGGAAGAGTTTACATTCTCCTTTCACAGCACTATGAGATTGCATAACCCCTGACCCTCTGTCTGAGCAGTGCTGTTTGGCCCTGTGCTGATCACATGCACCCTCCCAAGAAAAATAAAAAAACTCCCTAGCCATACACACCAAACTGAGCATGTGCAGAGTGTCCCTGAGACTGTGTTCTATCAGAAGATGAAATGGGGAATGTGGAAGAAGGGGAGGGTCAGAGAAAACAGGATCAAACATCCTTTTTCCACAATGCAGAGGACTAACCCCTTAAGTTCCACAGTGAGTATAACAAGCACCCTTTACTGCATATTCAGACTGATTATACTGTTGTGGGTTTATTAACACTTTAAATCTTTTCATGCACCAAAGCTTTGAACTCTTTTTGCACTTGTGTTTTTCATATGGTTTTTTTTGTAGTTAAAAAAGTACTATAAGGCTAGATTCACACTAGAACGTGGTGCAGGAAACCCACGATCCGTGCACGTTTCCTGCGTCGTGTTTAAAATGCACTGCAGTTGCAATCTGCAGTGGGTGTCATTATTAAGGTAACAACACTCCAAATGCAGGTCACAGATGCAGTGCATTTGTCTGTTCCAGATCTTGTGGAACAAAATAACAATGCGTTCCATTTGCAGGGCATTTCTTTTTGGTGTGATGCAGTGCAATTTGAGCCCATTCAAAATGAATGGGCTCAAATCACACCATACTGAATCACAGTGGCTGTGTCCATGAAGTTATGTTGTGCTTATGTGTGATAATAATGATCTTAGTGTATTTTTAGTGAAAACAGTGATCTATGCAACTATTGCAGGGCCTAAAAAATCGACTATTGCCGGGATTGTATTTGGGTCAGTGTGTCCTACAGTACAATCTCCCCAGGTCAGTCTGACTTGAGGGGATTATATTGGGGGACAGACTGACCTGGGGGGAATTATACTGGGGGACAGACTGACCTGGGGGGATTTTATTGGGGGCAGATTGACCCAAAGGGGAGGAGGATTACACTGGGGGGGATTATACTGGGGGAAAGACTGACCTAGGGGGGATTATATTGGGGGACATATTGACCTGGAGGGGGGGAGAAGGATTATGCCAGGGGACAGACTGAGCTGGGGGGATTATACTGGGGACAGTTTTTTTGTAACCATGCCCCTTAAGCCCCTGCCACTGTTAATGCACTCTATATCACTAATTTACTTAATATGCCCTAAGATGCTCCAGGTCTTTCACAATCCTAGCAACACCCCTAGCACTTTTGAAAATCATGCCCACTCTCTCACTATGGTGCACTAAGCACACTGCCTTTTTTTTTTCGGATCAAGCAATGTGGCACAAATTATGATTTTGCACACAGACCCACTGACTTCATAAAACATCCCTGCTGTCACCACTCCCTACTAGATGAGCTACTCCCCCAGCTGTTAGCGGTAGTAGTGACATCTAAGGTTGACATCTCTGAATTTGCCACACCCACATTTTCACCCAATTTGGAAAATGTATTTGGGTGTTCAAACACAGGACTGATATTTCTTTTCTGCGAGCCCCTACCACTCCCTCTAACTTCAATAATCCACCTCTGTACATGATCATCGTGACTTTCCTCTCCACTCTCCACATCAACCCCATTAACCACCTGCTTAGTAAGCATAAGGTTCTGTACCAGGCAGTCAGTTTCAGTCACTGTTGCAATTTGCTCCTCCAAATCTTTAATGTGAGCTTCCTGAAGGGCAGTGGGCTCACATCTGTCACAGCAGTATTCATTCTGGAGCTGTGGCTTCATCATTGCATACATATGGCACAACGTGCACTGAACAAAACCTTCAATCTTGCCAGCACTCATTATCCCAGTTACAATACTAATATTACTTATAGGAAGTTTAAAATAATACTTTCAGGTGGAAGACTCCATTTTCCTTAACTCCTGTTGCTTTCAACTCCTGTTTTTTACATCTCCTCAATTCCAATGTGAGAAAGCTCAATGCGAGTTAAACAGATAGTTATAGAACACCTGAGAACAATGTGTTTTAAAAACTGATAGCAAAGTTTCCAAAGAAGAAGATAAAACACTTGCATCACAAGCAAACACCAAGCTGTCAAAAGCACTCCTGTTTTTTTATTCTCCACTTGGTCAAAATCCCACTTTGTTCACCACACCAAAAAATAGAAGAATTTAAAATATTAGGATTTAGATGCAGACCGGCCCGCAATGACAGATCTGCCGCTGAGCAGGGCGGTCGTCATGGCAACATGACATCATACGTGTGCCCCGCCCCTTACAGCTCACTTTCTCTCCGGTTCCTGCTCCCTGCCTGTACACAAGCGTCCAGCAATGATCCCGGAACAGCTCCTGTCTGCCCTCAAGGTAGGGTGTAGTCTTACAGGAGCACTCTGATGTGCACATTGAATGTTAAGGGGCACTCTGATGGGCACAACATAACGTGCCCATCAGAGTGCCCCTTAACATAACATGTGCCCATCAGAGTGTCTCTTAATATAAATGTGCCCATCAGAGTGCCCCTTAACATAAAAATGTTCCCATCAGAGTGCCCCTTAACATAAAATGTGCCCATCAGTATGCCCCTTATTTTAATTTAAGGGGCATACTGATGGGCACATTTTATGTTAAGGGTCACTCTGATGGGCACATTTAATGTTAAGGAGCACTCTGGGCACAACACAGAATGTGCCCATCAGAGTGCCCCTTAACATAAAATGTATCCATCAGAGTGCCCCTTAATATAAATGTTCTCATTAGAGTGCCCCTTAATATAAATGTGCCCATCAGAGTGCCTCTTAAAGTGTGCTCATCAGCATAACCCTTATTTTTGCCCCTTATGTGCTCTGACGGGCACATTTTATGTTAAGGGGCACTCTGATGGGCACATTTTATGTTAAGGGGGCACATACTGTGGAAAGGGGCACTCTGATGGGCACATGATGGAAAGGGGCACTCTGATGGGGAATATCATGTAAAGGGACACTCTTATGGGGAAATATGATAGAAAGGGGTACTTTGAGTGTAAGGGGGCACTCTGACGGGAATACCTGATGTAAGGTGGCAATGTGATGGGAATACATGATGTAAAGGGTCACTGTGATGGGCACAACTGATGTAAAAAAAAGTACTCTGATGGGCACACCTGATGTGGTGGGAATACATGATGTAAAGTTGCACTCTGATAGCGACACCTAATGTAAGGGGGCACACTAATGGGCACACCTTATTCTGACCTTGGCCAGAAAAAATTTTTTAGTGACCAGACCTTCTTGAATTTTAATTCAATATCCCTGATGTAGACCATGCTCCTTCCCATCAAACTAGGAACTATATTTTCTGACAGTCGTTAGAACTTATTATAGATATTTTATTTGGTATACTTCATGCAGCAGTCAGACTGATGCAATAGTGTAAGTGGGCACGGAAGACACAGTTTCCACTGAACTTAATACATGTCAGAATTTCTTAGCTCCTCCAGAAAACCCGTGACTTGGGACGTTTGGGCACTAAATTTAAAAATAGAAGTTGAAGAGTGACATCACTTGAGAGAGAGGTGTCTTCTGGGTGGGAACACGTAGTGCTGTGATGTTTCTTCTGGAAGCCACTATTTACATTTTAAGAACCACTAGTTTGCAGGTTCCCTGGGTGCTTATTAAAATCTGTAGGTGGAAACTTGGATGTATCACTAGGTATCAGTGTTAAATCATTTAGTGGGGCTGCAGGTTTACTTTAAAACCCAGCATTTTGTTTTAGAAAGTGTAGGGAATGGTGATAACCTCTGTCTGTCTCTTTTTGTTTTGCCATCTGCATACAGTTGCCAAGATATACCCTATTTATTTTTTACTTGTCTATTAAAGGATACATGAATTCCTTTACTGTCTGGTTATCACCAGGAATGGATACTGGTGATCTCAGGAGATTGTGCATATTTTCTACAGCTATGCTGTTCTTTGTTGTGACGATATTTCTAATATTAACGGCTGCTGAAGGATTCATACTGGATATATTAAAGGCTACATACACCTTTACAAAAAAAAAATAAATGTACATTTTTTTTGCAGAAACAAAGTGAATTTATTATTTTTTTTCCTGCAGAAGCTTGGAAAGCATTGTACCCAGTAGATCCCAGGTGCAATGTGGGCTCTATCAGACATTTCCTCGGCTTTCAGCCCATACCTCTATATGGACTTTCTGTTTGAAAGCCAGAAGACTATGAGAGTGCTCATCTATGCCTCCGCAGCCCACTGAAACTACAGATCCATCTGTCACAGTGGCAGATGGTACTTGTAGCTTATTTATTCACAGGAATCTGTGAATGAATGAATTGACTGTGTGGGATGAGCCATGCTGTTTTTAAAAAGTGACAGCAGGTGTAGGGAGAAGAACCCCTTACTTCTGTCAGAGGGAGGGAGGATTGGGGGAAAGGGGGTAGGAGTTGGAACATGTTCCTCCCTAAATACGGGGGTAGAACATGTTCCAAAGGTGAACTTAGCCTTTAAATCTTGAAAGTCTTTACAGTCAGCTAATGAGCACAGGTTTTCCCAAATTTTACTGACGCTGTCTCTGAGACAGCCCTGAATTTCTGGAAGTTTCCGAGCCAGCTACAGGCCAAGTATGGAAATTCTGTTAAGTTCACACAGGACTCCATCATTCAGCTCAGGTCAGTATGTCTGGGGATTCCTTATGGAGGCATTAGTCCAAAGCTGAGGCAGTTTCCTTTTCCCTGTCTCTGTAACTAACATTTTTGGCTACCTAGCAGGCTTACCTAGTAGGCTACAGCTGCATCACAGCTCCAAATCAAGAGGGGAGCACTCACAGTGGAAGCTCTCCTTGGGGATTGGTGTCATCCATTACACGGCAGTTTCCAGTATCCATACGTTACATCAGCTTGCCAAGAAATCATTGGTGGTGGATTACAACCCTAAGACTGTGGGCACAGACTTTTACAGTTATGCTCGCATGAGAATGGGAGCCTGCATGTACTCACTTTGTAATAGCAAGTATGCTACTAATAGGCAAGCTAAAAAAATAAGCGGTACCAAGAAAACTCATTGATCACAATGGATGCTGGTAACGTCAGTGACATACTTCACATTCTGGGCAAAACTCATGTGCATGTTCTTGCTATTGTAGGCTGAGTGTCCGGTTTTACTTTATGTAGGAGCAACACAGTGGCTTAGTGGCTAGCACTTCTGCCTTGCATCACTAGGGTCCACTGTTTAAATCCTAGCAAAGACACTAACTGCATGGACTTTGCATGTTCCCCCTTTGATTACACATTGTCTAACTGGCTAGCCTGTGTAATTCATTTAAAAGAGATTTCTTCACTGCTGAAATTGATCACTTGCCTATAGTAAGTGTGGACAAATTGCTGTAATCTGCTAAATGCTTCTCAGTTTGCACATAGTTCTTCAATTAAGTTGCGATGTTGCAGAATTCTTGTATAATAAGCGTTTTGTTCCAAATGGTGTTCAAATGGTGAGCTCTGCTGTGCTCTTGTGGCAACCCCATTTTAGGAATCTTAGACAACCTCCTACTGAGGGAACAGTTGGTGCACGCTCTGTCAGGCCACATAGCTTTCCAGAAGTTAGAGTGGTTCAGGTAGATTTTGAACGTTCAGAAATGATGACTGAAACCAACTTGTCTTGAGTATCTTGGTCTAGTCCTGGACATAATACAGGCCAGAAGTTTCCTTTCAAATAAGAAATGTCTGAATCTCCAGTCCAGGGGTTTTCCAACCCTTTTCAATGAGGTCCTGGGCCTGGTGAAAAAAATTCATGAGGCAGTTCCATTTATCCAATTTCACTCCTGAAATCTACAAAGTAAAATTCTGTTGTCAAGGGTCAGAATTCTGTCCTATCTATTATGTTTCCAGAGTCAGTCAACCCTCTCTCTAATCATTGGATTCAGATGTTCCAATCACCTCCATGGCCACAGGTTTATAAAATCAAGCACCTAGACATGCAGACTGCTTCTACAAACATTTGTGAAAAAATGGGTCGTCTCAGGAGCTCAGTGAATTCAAGGGTAGTATCGTGATAGGTTGCCACCTGTGGAATAAGTCGATCCGTGAAATTTCCTTGCTACTAAATATTCCACAGTCAACTGTTAATGGTATTGTAATAAAGTGGAAACAACTGGGAACAACAGCAACTTAGCCGTGAAGTGGTAGGCCACAGAGTGGAGTCAGCGCATGCAGAAGCGCACAGTGCGCAGAAGTCACCAACTGCCTGCAGAGTCAATAGCTAAAGACCTCCAAACTTTGTGTGGCCCTCAGATTAGCACAAAAACAGTACTTAGAGAGCTTCATGGAATGGGTTTTTATGCCTGAGCAGCTGCATCCAAGCCTTACATCACCAAGTGCAATGCAAAGCGTCAGGTGCAGTGGTGTAAAGCACGCCACCGCTGGACTATAGAGCAGTGGAGATGTGTTCTCTGGAGCAGGGGCGGACTGACCATTTGGAAACTCGAGCACTGCTCGAGGGCCCGGGGTCAGTAGGGGGCCCCATGAGATGCCCCTGGTACCTTTTTCATAGGCTTTTTTGAGTTTGGGCAAGGACACAGGGGCCCCATGATCCCCTATTGCCTGGGGTCCCCATGAGTTGTCAGTCCACCCCTGCTCTGGAGTGATGAATCACGCTTCTGTGTCAGGCAATTTGATGGATGTGTCTGGCAGTTGCCAGGAGAATGGTACTTGCCTGACTGCATTGTGCCAAGTGTAAAGTTTGGTGGAGGGGGGATTATGGTGTGGGGTTGTTTTTCAGGCATTGGGCTTGGCCCCTTAGTGAAGGGAACTCTTAAGGAGTCATCATACCCAGACATTTTGGACAATTTCATGCTCTCAACTTTGTGGGTACAGTTTAGGGATGGCCTTTTTCCGATCCAACATGCATGTGCACCAGTGCACAAAGCAAGGTCCATAAAGACATGGATGAGCAAGGTTGGGGTGGAGAAACTTGACTGGCTTGCACAGATTCCTGACCTCAACCCGAAAGAACACCTCTGAAATGAATTAGAGTAGAGACCGAGAGCCAGGTCTTCTCATCTAACATCAGTGCTTAACCTTACAAATGTGCTTCTGGAAGAAAGGTCAAACATTCCCATAGACACACTCCTAAACCATGTGGACAGCCTTCCCAGAAGAGTTGAAGCTGTTATAGCTGCAAAGGGTAGGCCAACTCAATATTGAGCCGTGCGGATTAAGACTGAGATGCCATTAAAGTTCATTTAAAGGCAGACATCCCAATAGTTTCAGCAATATAGTGTAGCTTCCCTCATCTGTCTGTTCTCCTGTGACTTCAGGTAACGATGACAGACTGCTAGGCCACCATTCCGCAAAAAAAACAATAGCTGAGGACGCACATATAACTGGAACCTAGCTGAATCCCAACGACCAATGCACCGAACGACGTGTTCACCCAAACCCCACCGAGCAGCTTCCGTAGCCGCCCCAATACGAAAAGAATGGGACGAGTAGTGCTCTGCACCCAATCCCAATGCTTGAAAACACAGTTTAAACACTGCCCCAAGTGAGACAAAGCCATCCCATTTTCATGCAAAAAGAAAAACCCCAGGAATAGCAGGTCTCAACCCGAGAAATCCCCGAACGGCCGGAACAGGACAAATCTGGGACTCTGGATCCCCGCCAACTCCACCCAAGTGCCCCGACCCAAACGATCCATTTTTGACCTGCACAGAAAAATACGTAACCCATCACCCCGAAAGACCACATTATCCACAGCCAAACCACCCTCATCCCCCGCGTGTTCCGACTAACCAGCTCCCCAACTCGAAAAGCCCCAAAAAAGGCTAGCACAAATGCCTCCCGAAACAAAGTACCCTCGTACAATGAGGCACAAAGACCATCCAACTGGCCCACCACCCCATGGAGAACCTTAAAAGAAACAGGCCATCTAGCATCAGGAATTGAACGGCCTTTTCGATAACCCAGCATAGCCTGCCTAACAAGGAAATCTATGCTAACATCACAGCGCCTTACCAATTTTAAATGGAAAGCCAACCCCGCCAGCTTTCTGGATATCAAAGATGCAGAAACACCAGCTTCAAAATTCCGACCGATGAAATAAAGCAGGAGCATCGTCCACCCCGGACCCACACCCAACCTCACTCGCCAAATCCAGCCATTCCCGCCAAACCTTTCCGTAAAAGGCCCAAGTGGGCTCGCAAACCAATTGTCTAATCAAGGCTGCAGA